CTATTTTTTTAGGCCTGTAAAATGTAAACCAAATGAGTAAATGTGTTATATAATAATATGATATGTATACCATGTAATATACATACACTATAGATTATGAATAATAACACATAAATGCAAATGTAAACTCCATGTGTATTATAAAATATTATTATAATATTATATCCACATTATAATTTATAATCAGTACGGTCGAAATTGAGTGTCTTCAGCTGCCCCTCTTTGCTCATTATCGTGTAACGACAATAGAGCAAAGATTAAAAGACACAAATTTCGGCCATATAGAATATCCTCTATCGTAGAGTTGAAATCCGATATTAAAATTGGTTTGTCAATTTAAATCACGTAATGACTCTGTCATCGTGAAGTTGAGTTGAAATGGAGAATTCTGAGCACGATATCCTTCGTTGTAAAGTTGAAATCGAACTTAGAACTTTTGGCAAGTGGCCTCTAAATCGCCTTCTGGCTCAAGATACTTCTTCGTGAAGGTGAAACTTGTCCTGAAGACTTCGGTGTTACTGTGTTATAGATGACTCCTTCGTAGTGAAGTTGGGTCAATCTGTTGGGGTATGATACCCCTTGTTGTGAAGTTGAAATTGTACACGGCCCCTTCGTCGTGAAGTTGAGCTTTGGAATTGGATATCCTTCGTCGTGAAGTTGAAATCCAATGTAAGTTGCTTTGTTTCGAGGCAAATATCCTTCGTCATGAAGTTGAAATTAACTCTGAAACTGTAAAGTTTATTAACAGACACTCATTCTTTGAGTTGGATATCCTCCATCGTGAAGTTGAAATCCAATCTAGAGATAGATGTTGCTTGTGTGTACGATTCCCTTTGTCGTGAAGTTGAAACCGTAGATGGCTCATCCGTCGTAAAGTTGAGCCTTGAATTGGATATCCTTTTTCATGAAGTTGAAATCCAAGTAAGTTGTATTGCTCCGAGTCCAATATCCTCCGCCGTGAAGTTGAAATTAGCTATGGAACTGGGAAATTGTTTGTTGACAGTCAGTCGCCCCTTTGCTGTGAAGTTGAGCTTGTGTTGTATCGAGTTTAATATCCTTCACTGTGAAGTTAGAATTGACTCCGAATAAAACTGTTTGTTGATAATCAGTCGCCCCTTCGTTGTGAAGTTGAGCTTGTGTTGTCTTGAGTCCAATATCCTTCACTGTGAAGTTGAAATTGGCTCTGAAATCGAGAAGCCCCTTCGTCGTGAAGTTGAGCCTCAAATGGCACGATATCCTCCTTCGTGGAGTTGAAATTGTGGATGTGTGGGTACGATATCCTCCGTTGTGGAGTTGAAATCGCGGATGGCCCTTTCATTGTGAAGTTGATCCTTGACTTGAATATCCTTTGTCGTGAAGTTGAAATCCAAGCATTGTATGTTACGGGTGAACACGATTCCCTTTGCCGTGAAGTTGAAAACGTGGATGACCCCTTTATTGTGAAGTTTGGTTTCGAGCTAGATATCCTTCGTCGTGAAGTTGAAATCTACTCTCGAGCAAATTGTGTCGTTTTGAGTCCAATCTCCTTCACTGCGAAGCTGAAATTGGCTCTAGATAAAACCTGAAAAGATATGCATATATGCGATGTTATGGATGCAATGCTCTTAGGTATGCCTAAAATGCATATGCAACATATGTTATTTTGGGCTCTGGAGAGAAATCTCGATATCCAATTACATGTCTGGAATATCGACTCTGGAATTTTGAAGTTCTGACCCCTGATCTTGAATTCTTCAAATGTTCAAATCTGATGTGCACATTCTATTTGTTTCTTGATTTGGGAAATACTTCTCGACTATCTCAAGTATGTGCAGAAGCCTTGATCGGCTCCAGGTACCTATACTTTTCACTAAATCTTTGTATAGTAATATGTGATTATCTTTTGCACAAGGAAATAAAACATTAAGTTTAAATTCAATTCAAGATGCTCAAAAGGAGTTGATTTAGAGAAAATATTGTCTTTATTCATAAGGGAAAAAAGAACAAATAATACATGACAAACATTTTGGAAAATGAATACATGATGAAGTGTGAATGAATGTCTTAGATATCGATAATGTGGGCACTTCTGAGCTGAAAAGCCGTTAGGTGACCTTGAATGCAGCCTTTGCCAAGGGATCTTTGAAAATGCGACAACGTTCTGGAGAGTGCAAACTTTCTCCGGCTTGTTGAGTGTGTAGAAGATTCAGATACCGGGATGTTTCCACTGTCAATATCCAAATCGCCCTTTTCAGGTTTTCAACTTGGACCCATCCTTGGTTACAAGACGCCCTTTGCGGGTTTTCATCTTGAACCCATCTTATTTTTTTTCTCTTTCTCATTTTGTTTTTTTTCCTTTTTTCTCTTTTTTTGTTCTTTTTTCTTTTTTGTTCTTTTTTTCTTCTTCGACTTAGGACGCCCTTTCGGGTTTTCATCCTAGGCGAATTATTTATTGACTGCATTTGAATTGATGGGATGTGGCAGTTCAGGTCCGTTCATTTCAGACAGGACAAGGGCTCCTCCGGAGAAGGCCTTTTTCACGACATAAGGTCCTTCCTAATTTGGCGTCTATTTTCCTCGAAAATCTTTCTGGACTGGCCAAATTCTCTTTAGCACCAAATCACATTCACGGAATATTCTCAGGCGCACCTTTTAGTCATGTTCCCGGATCATTCGTTTCTGATAGATTTGACCATGATGAATGACTCTCAATCTCTTTTCATCTATCAAGTTCAGTTGATCATATCGGGATTGCACCCACTCTGCATCGTCCAGATTGACTTCTGTCAAGACCCGGAGTGATAGAATCTCTACTTCAATGGGCATCACTGCTTCCATTCCATAATCGAGTGAAAATGAAGTTACCCCAGTCGAGGTTCATACCGAGGTTCGGTAAACGAACAAAGCAAAAGGTAACTTCTCATGCCAGTCTTTGTAAGTTTCAGTCATTTTCTCAACTATCTTTTTAATGTTTTTGTTTGTTGTTTCTACTGCTCCGTTCATCTTTGGTCTGTAAGCAGTAGAATTGTGATGCTTTATATTGACCATATCGACATATGATCTCTTTTTTCAAAAACTTGCAAATAGTGGACAGAGTGACACTGGCATATGATGCAGCTTCTACCTATTTGGTGAAGTAATCGATGGCTACAAGGATGAACTGGTGACCATTTAAAGCCTTCGGATGTATTTACCCGATGACATCCATGACCCACACAGAGAAGGGCTATGGAGACATCATTACATAAAGTGGATGAGGTGGAACATTGATTTTATCTCCGTAAATTTGACATTTATGACATCTTCTAGCATATTTGATGCAATCATTTTCCAGTGTAGACAAAAAATATCCACATCTCATTATTTGTCTTGACATCATATGTCCATTTGCATGTGCTACACAAACTCCATCAAGTACTTCTTCCACTATCATTTTTGCCTCTTCGGCATCAACGCACCTTAATAGGACTTGATTATAGCTTTTCTTGTACAAGACCTCCCCATCAAGAACGTATCCAGTTGTCATCCTTATAATGGTTCTTTTATCGGTTTCGGTGGCTTCCTCTGGATAACTTTGATGTTTTATATATTGCAAAATGTTGTGGTACCAAGGCTTAGTGTCTTTCACTTCTTCAATTTGGTAACAATGAGTCGGGTACTCATATAACTGCATGTTAATTGGCATCATCTCAGATTCCCCACCAGCCTTGAATGTAGCTGCCAAGGTAGCTAAAGCGTCAGCCATTTGATTTTCTTCTCTAGGCACGTAGTGGAAGGTGACTTCATTGAATTCTTCGATCAGATCCAGTATTAGCTTCCGGTATTCCATCAGCTTTGTATCCTTGGTTTCTCATTCTCCATGGAGCTGATAAATTACTAATGTTGAATCTCCGTATATCCGCAAGGTCTTTATGTTTTGCCCCAGTGCAGCTCAAATTCCCAAGACACAGGCTTCGTATTCTGCCATGTTATTGGTGAAATCGAAGTTCAGTCTGCTGGAAAACGGGTAGTGATTCCTTTCCGGAGAGATCAGGATTGCCCCGATGCCATGTCCTAATGCATTTGATGCACCATCCAAATACACTCTCCAGGAACTGTCGATTGAAGTACTTGCCTATTCTAAGGTGATAACCATCAGGTCCTCGTCTGGGAAATCAAAGTCCAATAGCTCGTAATTATCATCGGTTCTACTTGCCAAGAACTCCGATATGACACTTCCTTTTATTGCTTTATGGCTCACGTACTCGATGTCAAATTCAGACAAGAGCATCTGTCATCGGGCTAACCTTCCAGATAGAGCAGGTACACCCATCATGTACTTTAAAGGATCTAACTTAGAAATCAACCAAGTAGTATGATACAACATATATTGTCGGAGTCTTTTTTTAGCCCAGACTAGAGCACAACAAACCTTCTTGATAGGAGGATATCTGACCTCGCAATCGGTGAACTTCTTGCTCAGATAGTAGATGACTCTTTCTTTTCTTCCAGATTCTTCATGTTGACCCAGGATACAACCCATTGAGTTCTCGAATATGGATAGATACAAGAACAGAGGTTTGCCTGGGATAGGGGACATCAGGAAAGGAGTGCGAGACAAATACTCTTTTACTTTTTCGAATACAATCTGGCAGTTTTCATCCCAAGCTCCAGAGTTGTTCTTTCAGAGAAGACGGAAGATTGTATCACACTTGTCGGTTAACTGAGATATGAACTGTGCTATGTAATTCAATCTACCTAGAAAACCTTGAACCTTCTTCTGTGTTCGTGGGGGAGGCAGATTTTGGATAGCCTTGACTTTATCGGGATCGACCTCGATGCCTTTTCTGCTAACCATGAAGCCTAATAGCTTTCAAGATGTTACCCCGAAGGTACACTTACTAGGGTTCAATCGTAGCTAGAACCTCCTCAATCTCTGGAATAGCTTTCTCAAATTCTCGACATGTTCATTCTCGGTTTATGCCTTAACAATCATGTCGTCGACATAAACCTAAATTTCTTTGTATATCATGTCGTGGAACAGGGTCACCATAGCTCTCTGATACGTTGCCCCAGCATTATTCAGTTTGAAGGGCATAACCTTAAAGCAGAAAGTTCCCCACATTGTGACGAACGTGGTATTCTCCATGTCTTTAGGATGCATCTTGATCTGATTATATCCTGAGAATCTATACATGAACGAAAAGATAGTGATCACGGCTGTATTGTCTACTAATATGTCAATGTGAGGTAAAGGAAAGTTGTTTTTAGGGTTCACCCTGTTAAGGTCTTGGTAATCGACGCACATACGAACCTTCCCGTCTTTCTTTGGAACTGGCACTATGTTGGCCACCCACTCTGGATACTTGGACACTTGAAGGAAACCAACATTGAATTGCTTCTTAACTTCTTCTTTAATTTTAAGGAGCATCTCTGTCACATCCTTCTCAGGTCCCATATCTGTGTCTAGTCCCGGCATGTCTTGATACGACCAGGCAAATACATCTCTATACTCTTGAAGTAAGACTATCAGGTTTTGTCTTGCTTCAGCTGAGCTAGTTGTGCTGATTCTAACCTCCTTTCTATCCTCTTCAGTACCCAGATTCAAGACTTCGGTCGTCTCCTCATGGGGCAGTATTTGTTTATCTTCTATTTCTACCATTCTCAACAATTCGGTGGGAAGTTGCACTCCTCTTCAGTGTCGCATTCATCAACTTCCCCTTGACAAATGGCCGATTCAAAATCCACCTTCGGATCAGGGATCATCAGTGCTTGCATTATCGTTATCTGGGGTCCTGAAGGAACAAAGAAGATATGTATGCGTGAGAAGAAATATCCCACACGAAATAGTCAAAGAATTAAATTTGAAAGAAAATGAAAAGAAAGTGTTGGAATGAAGAAAATAGACAATGAATTCAAAAAGAAATGAAAGAAAATTTGTTTGCCATTAACATAGGAAAAAATGCATCATTTATTGAAATTAAACCAAATGTTTATTCACCCTTACAAAAGATCACCTATTGCCCCGAGTATAGGCAAATAGGGATAGTTCGAATATTACTCTGAAAGATTCTTGTAAACCACAGGTAATTCTTCCACCGACCAGCTGCTAGGTACGAACCTAGGTGGCATAGGGCATATCCTAGATCTATTTTCGTTGTCAACATCTTCTGTGGTCATGATATTAATGTTTAGATCTTCCAGAGCCGCTTCTAGATCGGATGAGGTGGTCTTGAACACATAACCACCTGACTTGAATGTATGGTAAAGAGGTGGGAATGTCATAGGCTTCCATTGAAGTTCGTTTCTAGTCAACCTGGCTATCTTTTTTGTCTCGGTTCTTCTGGACTTCCTTCCTCTTTTCCTGATAACTGGCTGAAAATTGAGCCCAAATTGATCGAGTTTTGAAACAGGAAGGACTGGATTGCTCATTCCTTGCAAATATTTCCCAAAACCTCTTCCGGCTTTGGCACCTCTTCCCAAAGTCTGCATGATCTCCATACTGGTACAATTGGAAAGCCAGGGTCTAGGGATCTTCTTTCCTTCTTCCACGAATGTGGTATTCACAAACTCTAAGGAGCGGAATGAGCACTCCACCGTTTCCTCATCTACTTCGATGTATGGGGCTTCCGTGGTAACGTTTGCCACGATATATTCTTCAGCGTTGATGATTACTAAGGCCCCGTCAATAACAAATTTAATTTTTTTGGTGCAGCGTAGATGTAATGCACCTGCTTGATGAATCCATGGCCTTCCTAAAAGACAGTTGTAAGAAGGCACGATATCCATCACTAGGAACTCGACATCATAGGTGGCGTGTCCGATTGTCAACGACACCTCGATCTTGCCAATTACCTCTCTTTTGGTCCCATCAAATGCTCGGACCATATTTTGGTAGGTTCTCATATATGAGGTATCTATTGGCAGCCTTTTTAATGTAACCAAATGCATCACGTTTAGGTCTGAGCCATTGTCGATTAAGACACTTGGTAAAGTGTGCCCCTTTTAGTAGGTAGTAATGTGTAACGCCTTTGTTCGGCCTCTTTCCCCAGATGGAATCTCATCATCTGAAAATGAGATGAGATTATCAGCTTGAATATTATTTACCAGTCCATACATCTTGTTGACTGGTATGTTCTACGGCACGAACGTTTGATTCAGGACTTTCAGCAGTGCCTCCTGATATGCCTCTGAGTTTAACAAAAGTGCCAACATTGAAGTACGAGTTGGCAAATTGTGAAGTTGTTCTACAATGTTGTACTCGATGTGCTTCAAGATCTTGATGAACTTTTTAGCTTCTTCCTCCTTTATAGGTTCGCTTATAGCCAGCACGTCTTCTTTGAAAGGCTCTAGTGGTCTTCGCCCCACATTGTTATCACATCCTTTGGAAGTGCTCACCTGGCATTCGTACTTCGATGGCACTTATCGATTGTCTTTATATTGAAAAGGTCGAGGTGCTGTGATCACCACATTGGCTGGTGTTGTTGTTATTGTTGTCGTCTTCGCTTTAGGGGTAATTATCAAAGGACTACCCCTGTTGTACTTCTTGTCGGATGATTCTCCGGTAGCACAAACATCTACTTCCAAAGAATCTTGAATTTCTTTATAAAATTCCATCTCTTTGCGGTCCATATGAGCTGGACTAACGATATGAATTCTGGACACTCTTGCACTTCATACCCTTCTTCGTTGTGGTAACAGCAATGATTACCACCTTCATTCCTTGCTGCGCATGACTGGGGTGCAAGAAGCCCCACTTTTACCATTTGGCTCTATACCCAAGTCAAAGGAGCTTTAACTTCCGAAACATTGGTTTTGATTCTCCTACCACTCTCGGTGGTGACTGTATTGATTCAAGCCTCTGGATGATTAGGCAAGGGATTCTAGGTGACATTTGGTGTTCCGGAGTTGAAAGTGATCCAATTCTTATTCCGCATTCGTTGTACAAGCCTCTTGAATGCGAGACAGATTTCAATTGAATGCCCCTGCACACCTCCATGATATTCGCAGTAGGTATTTTCGTCAAACCATTTCAGATATAGGGGCTTTATCGGATCCATTGGGTATGGTGATACCGTGTGAGTGTCGAAGAGTTGTTGATATAACTCTTTATACGTCATGGGAATGGGATCGAACTGATCCCTTTCCCTTTCTTTCCTTGGTTCTCTCTGAGTTTGGTTAGAAGTATCGGATGGTACAGCTGCAGTGGTTTTTGAACTTGAGACTGTAACACCTTTGTTGGTGTTGTAGGTGTTGACATTGTTTATCTCTCGCTCTTTTCTCTTCATGGAAGGCTTTTTGCTGGAGTCACCTCCCTCAATCTTTCCTTGTTTTATGGCCAGTTCGACCATTTCGCCAGCCATAACCAGATCTGAGAAACTTCCCGATGTAATTGCCACCAAGTGCTCGAAGTAAGGCGTCTTCAAGGTCTGAACAAACATTTTTCTAGTTTCCTTTTCTTCCAAGGGTGGATGAACTTGCACAGACAAATCCCTCCATCGCTGTGCGTAATGTCGGAAACTTTCGTTATGCTTCTTTTCGAGGCTCTACAGCATAACTCGGTCTGGTCTCATATCATTGATATGCTTGTACTGCTCTAAGAAGGACTTGGCTAAGTTTTTCTACGTCTTGATATGAGTTCGGCTAAGTTGGTTGTACCACTAGATAACTGAACCGGATAGGCTCTCCTGAAAGCAGTGGATCAGGAGTTGTTCATTTCCCCCATATCCTGTCACATTCCGACAAAACATAGTGATGTGGGCCGAGGGGCAACTGTTTCCATCAAACTTCTCGAACTCAGAGATCTTAAACTTTGGTGAAAACACCAAATATGGAACTAGGCTCAGCTCCATTGCGTATATTCCGCAGTAATCATGGTCCCCTTTGACCAGCTTCATCTGGTCTTCCAACAACTTAATCTTTTCTTCCATTTTCTTTGCTTTGTCCTCTTCATCGAAATTCATGATATTGTAATCGTCTGGATGGTTGTCAGGACCGGTTGTGGAAGTTTGCACCTTAGCAGTAGATGATGCTTTTCCCTTGGTAGCAGAAGAGTTTTCTTGCAGTCCGGGTAAGATCCCGGGTGAAATAACCACCTGTGGGGTCAGAGATATGGTTACCCCCTCAGACGCACCTACTCCGGGTGCACTTGCTTGTTGTTGTAAACCAGACAACTTAGCCACGATTTGGTCAACTAAGGATTCCTGACTTCTTTTGATGGACTCCATGGCACTTTGACTATTCTGAGCCATTTTGTCGTCCAATTCTTTCTGCAGCTTTGTCATGTTCTCTTCGATCTTCTCGATTCTGGCCTCCATTTGTCTCTTTTTTGCTCGAGTATTGTACGGGTGATGCGTATCTAATACTTTCGGTGGTAAGCTTGGTGTCTGAGACATGTTCTGTTAGTTAATACGAATGTAAAAAACATGGAAAATATAAAAATAAACATGAAATATAAAATGCAAAGTATGCAATGTATGATGTATGCAATTTGGAGGCATTGATCCAGAAAAGCGTCCATTATTATATATAATCCTTATTCAGACAAAAATGTTTTATATTATAAGAGACATAAAAACAAATTAAAGGTACATTCGGACTAAATCCTCTAGACCCTGAACAACTTCAAGTAGGTTGACAAGTCTTCTGCCTTCATCTGTCACTGGTTGAATGCCTTGTCAAACCACTCACGCTTCCCTTGTCAGGTCATGAAGATGACGGACTGCCTTTGTCTATTCTGATGGACTCCATGGTACTTTGACTATTCTGAGCCATTTTGTCCTCCAATTCTTTCTGCAGCTTTGTCATGTTCTCTTCGATCTTCTCGATTCTGGCCTCTATTTGTCTCTTTTTTGCTCGAGTATTGTGATCTAATACTTTCGGTGGTAAGCTTGGTGTCTGAGACATGTTCTGTTAGTTAATACGAATGTAAAAAAACATGGAAAATATAAAAATAAACATGAAATATAAAATGCAAAGTATGCAATGTATGATGTTTGCAATTTGGAGGTATTGATCCAGAAAAGTGTTCATTATTATATATAATCCTTATTCAGACAAAAATGTTTTATATTTTAAGAGACATAAAAACAAATTAAAGGTACATCCGGACTAAATCCTCTAGACCCTGAACAACTTCAAGTAGGTTGACAAGTCTTCTGCCTTCATCTGTCACTGGTTGAATGCCTTGTCAAACCACTCCCGCTTCCCTTGTCAGGCTGTGAAGATGACGGGCTGCCTTCTACACTTGATCTAGGAAATCTCGGATGGTTGCGTCTCTGGCCTTCACCCTTTGTTGTGCTTGCTCCAAACGGAAACGCCACTGTAAACCTCATTAGAAGGGCTCTAGCTGAAGCTCGTTCGCTTGCCTCTTGAACCTATCTATAATAGCTTCTAACTCAGGTATTGTCTTGCCATCCTTTTTATATTTTTTCTCTAGATCAGCCACCCGGATTCTCAAGTGTTGGTTCTGATGTTGAC